TCTTGGAACCTTTCTGAAGGTATAATCTTTTTAAAAAGGTTTTAGCTTTCTCAGCCCAGATCAAAGGGAATGCGAGTCACAGCGTGTCTCCCTTTTTGGTTGCTAGTGGCAGCGCCAAGTTATCTGAACATGCTGTCAGAGTCTCTTGGTCTTCGTGTCATTTCAAAGAGAGGTCTAGTGCCTGCTGTAATTAATTGATTCACTAATGAAGTTACGGTATGTTCGATGCTCTAAATAACCCTTCCAGTATCTGCCTGTGCCTGTCACTTTGTCAAGCTGCAGCGTTGGGGACAGCACACATGTCAGTGGTTTATCATGCCAGCCCTCCTGATGCCTGAACTCATAAATAAACAGAGTGATGGAGGGAGACACAGCGAGCACTCAGGCAGTGATGAGGCATCTCCATCTCTCAGTGGGGGTCTAGTACCTCTGATGGGAGGGGAGGACAGGGCTCTTCTGTTAGCTGCCACAGGTCTGAGAGGGGAGGGGTGGGACTAATGGTACCATGGCTGCATAAAGGGAGAGGAGAAAGGTAGAAATTCAAAAGCAGGGGGAAACCGAAGGGAAAAAAAGAGATGAACGACAAGGAGAGATTGAGGAGCATCGTGTTCATGTTCAAGCTGTGGATTCAGCAAAAGCTTAGATAAATGCATTTGCATCTGAAATACTGTAGTCTCCACCTGAATTAAAGCTGACGATACAAGCCTATGGAATAAAGAAGCTGAAATGATGTAGTAGCATTGCACAGCAGTAAGCATCCAATGATGTTTATTTGAATTGTGTTATCTTTTACCTCGAAGTTGGCTAAGTACTGAGTATAATGCCTCCCTCTCATTCATCTCAATGAAATTGACTCTCCACAGTGGTGGCTAAAGCAGCATGAGAGTGCAGAGCTTGTACATCCAAACAAGCTTTCAGGCTCTCCAGTGAAGTATTTGGCTTGGGCTCTAGGAGGTAAATGTCAAAACATTATTCATGTGTGCTATGGGAACGAAGAGGAGAAGAGACAAGAGATGGAGGGACAAACTCAGACAAAGGAGGATTTCCATATTAAAGCCAGCACAGTGTATGAAAGGAGAAGAAGTAAGAATTCAGATGCAAATGGAAGTGCATCTCTTGCATTTATGCAAACATAAAATAATGCACTTAAGGGCAATGTGAAAAGTGAGTGCATCCACTTCTCTTTTGTTTGCCAATGTTAAATGCAGATCTACATTTTTCATATTAAGCTTTCACTGTAGGTGCTTGAATTTTAAACAAGCCGATTTTGTAGAGTGGGTATGTAGGGTATGGAGTTCCCAGGTCCATGTGTAGCCTTGGGTTTGTTATTGTTCAAAATGAAAAAACATAATGCTGAAAAACAAGCAGTTGCTTTCTGCTTCTGAATGAAAAGCCTCAAATGTAAATGCTAAATGCAGATCTACACAATCAATAACGCCAACTATCCTAAAAGTAAATATTTGCCTTAGCTCTGGATCTTAAAGAACTACACAGAGAAAGAAACCTCACTGCAAATATTAGGCATACATTTGAGTTAGCCATCTTATCAAACTTCAAATACAGCCTTACTCTTTGTACTGCATGTGAAAAGATGACAATCATATAAACAAGTGCTTTGTCTAGGCGTGCTCAACTTCAAAGTTTTAAAGCGTGACCCATTTCCTCTCCAAGCTGTAATTGCCGCCTACTACCGTATCACGCATAAACGCTTCACATAATCATGTGCCTGGAAAAGGCTGCAAATTGTTGATGCACGCTGTCTATCCTGCAGATGACACATGACGATAATCCCTTAAATAGCATATCCTCCGCAGCTGACTAACCTTCCTCATGATCTTTTAGACAATAAGGTCTACATGTTGACAGCAAATTAAACTGCCAGCTAGGAATCATAATGATAGCCATTAGTGGATATATTAATAGTTTAGTTAAGAAAGCAAGGGCCAATGTGCTGGGATAAAATCATTGTGTACACATTTGATCAATAAAGGTTGTTAGTGATAACATTTCCTGATTGTCTTTATTGATTCCAACTCCTGCTTATATGGGTTTGATGTGATACAATGAACTAAGATAAAATCAAAATGCCTATATATATATATATTTAAAAAATCAGATTTGAGAAAGGATTAAGCGTTTATCAGTGTGGAAAGTCATACCACATTGATTCATGGTGTTCTTTGTCTTGGGCAAAGCCTGAACAGAAACTAGTATAACTACGCAAACTTCCAGCACATCTAAAATATGGCGTCTGTTTGTGGCAGTTTCCCATTAGGAGGCGCTTTCTTGTCCTGCATAATTATGTCCAATTTTGGAATTGCGCTCCTATTTACCCACATCTGGTTGCAACTAGTTGACCCTTATAGCACATGGCTGTGGAATGTCCAGGAAAATTGTTCTCAGCTGCAATCTGTATTCCTATTCCTGACCTCCACTCGCTCCAAAAATCTGTTTATTTAAGATTTTAAGATTGCTGAAGCAAATTCAAATAAAGCTTTCTTTTCTGACAATGGAATATGAAATTGGCATCTACAGTACTGGAGTCCAAAGCCACAGTTATTGATACAAAGCAAATGTGTATCACTATAAATAACTGAAGAAAGTGTACACATGCCGACAGCTGACAGCTGACCTTTTTCCATTCCAAACATCCACAAGTGGGAATCATCAGCGGAGCCACATTTAACTGCAGCTGGCAGTGTCAAGATGCAAAGATTAGGCCCACTAATGAATATTAGCCTACGTGCAGCCGCTGGGTGTTTAGACGCAGTTCACCCCCATTGATTTCCCTGTTGGGTGAAGACAACTTTATCCCTGTGGCAAGTCCCTGGCTTATCTACCCCCCCGACTGCAAGGCAGCCGGCAGACGGACGGGGTGATTTCTGGCCATGCTTCAGGAGGATTTGAGTCTGGCAGGTGTTAGCGGGATACCTGAGGTGTAACACACAGGGGCAGCAAAGGGCAGGAGCAGTATGTTTGTGGGTTAAGAAGTGGACAAAGATGTCCAGCTGTGAGGGGGGGAACTGTATAGGGGGAATATTCAGGATGGCCCAATTAACACAAAGCCCAGACTATCACAGAGAGCAGGTGGCTGTGAGAGACAAGGAGGGATAAAGTGAGAGGAAGTGTGGAGAAAGGTGGCAGATGGCTGGAGAATTGGATGTGTACAAAGAAGAAATAGAGAAGAATACAGAGGAGCGACTCTGAGGAGAGAGACACAACTCTGCTAGATCTTAAAGAGATTCATTTCAGTCTCACATCACAAAGGAATATCCACAAAACACTCAGAGCTGTAGAAAATAAGAAGACTTCAAACGTGTTCTCATTGATTCACCGTTGCACCTCTGAGAGAGGAAATTACTTTGACACAGTGGCGCTTGCATTTGTGGAGAGTGCAGCAGTGGATGTGTCGGTACAAGCTCAAAACGTCAATAATTTACAGGAAGAATAAACAGCAGCTCTGCGACTCCTGTTATTTTGTGGATCTATCATCCGAGACGCAGATGATGACTAGATAATAAACTGATGAATAAACAGGAGACTGGAAAACCTTCTGCTGCTAAATGTGTTTCTATTAGTGCTATTGTGACAAAGAAAGAGGTACACACTCAGAAATGGGTGTGTACAAGGCCAGCTGCCGCAGCAATTCCTCCCATTTATCTTCAAGTCAAACATTTAAAAAACGGAAAAGACTCAGGGCCATGTAAAGTGGAAGAACCTTATCAATGGTGTCACACACAAACACACAATGAGCAGCAGGGTCATCATTATTACTGACTTACTGTCCTCCAATCAGAGGGGGTGACACAGCTGGGGGGCCACCGGTTGGACACTGCTATGCTAATCCATTAGCCACCTGCTTCAAGTGAAGCGGAGTTCACACTTGATCACATTTTGTCTGCTCAACAAAATGGGAGAGTCTGAGTCAACAGTTAAATTGTGTTGATGAAGAAAAATGTGCTGCATCGGGATGTTTCTCCTTTATTCCCCCTGCCTTGTTTTTATTTTTCTACTTCTTTTATGAGATTATGCTTTTTAGTGAAAATGTGTCTAAGTCATCATCTTACATTTCTTGCTGCTTTCCTTGTATGTGTAGAGAGGTTTTCCCTAGCCCTGTGGGTTGGACTGTGATCATTATGACTGTGCAAATGATCTCTGATTTAAGTTGCCCTACATTATCCACAATGATCAGCCGCAATGAGAGAAAATTACCTCATAAATGAGGATGTTACATTTATTTTCAACATTTGCTATTATTTCGGCACCTCTAGTCACTGTCCTTGGTGTCTGCTTGTGTCGTTCTCAGTCTGCACTCAGCAGCTCCACTCTGGGAATTAGTGTTCAACCTGTTATTTTGGCTTTGAAGGGAAAAGTCCAGCAAGAGAGAAAATGCTGCGGCTATCAAGGCACTCTCACTTAGCACTAGTTCATGTTTGGACACAGCTCGGCCAATGTTGCATCAAAGCATGCACGTTGTGTGAGGCTTCCTAAAGTCTTACTCACAACATTTCTGTAGCACTAGATGTGGAATGGACTAGAACATTTGCCCCAGATATAATTTGGTTCCCTGGAAGTCACCTCTGGCTTAACAAGGTCCCAGTGGTTCATTTCACTGTTCACTACACACTCTCACACCTTCACAGATGTGCACTGCCTCTAGCCTCCAGCTAGGTGTTTATAAATAAGGCAAACTGTACAGAAGAGCCACTCTACAAGCCTGTGTTGAAAGTGTATTATTGCTGACATAGATAGACGTATCTAAAATCTTGGCAATTTAACAAGACTAACACAATGCTCACTTTGTTAGCATTAAACAACACCAGCTCCCATAACAATGACTCATAGGAGGTGAGGTTATCAAAAGCTAAGAAATAATGAGACATCATTGTGGTAAGCATGAGCTTGTTAATTGTGTGTTTTCTCATTTTTTTTCAATTAGGAATGAATTTTCTTTTGCTGACTGATTAAATGATATGCCAACTAGTGAGTGTGTGGCGTACCGTGATCCAAGATGATGAGCTGAGCGCTGGACTGGATGTTTCCTGCCTCGTTTTCCGCAAGGCACTGATAGAAGCCCTCATCTGACTTCACCAGACCCAGGACCTGCAGGTTGTGCTCTTTCTACAGAACAGGGAGAGTAGAAATAGAGAAAAAGATAAGAAGATTAAAGTTGGTTAGTTACAACTAGCATTTTTAAATCTTCGTCATAACACTGTGATGAGGCTAAATCGCGCAAACCCTGCAGGAAAGGGAGAAAGCTGCATCTCTATTGCCAAATTCACTTACAATTATTTTGAAGTAGTCGCTGGGGATGACAGCATCTCCATTCTTGACCCATTTGACAGTGGGAGCGGGGGAGCCTGAAACCTCACAGTCAAAGACGATGTCCATGGACTCGTAGGCGTAAACGTTGTCTGGCCGCTTGAGAAACTGGGGAGGAACTGTGGAATCCAGATGAGAGAGGGAAGTCAGGGAAGTTGCAAACATTAAATAACATTGCATTCATTTTGATGGAATTAGCAGTATAAGGAACGGAGAGATTAAGAGGGACTAGGAATATAACGATATATCGAATATCGCGGTAAATAAATGTCTCAATACCGTCGTGAGACTGACGAAAATCTACCGCGATTTAAAAAAAAAAAAATATATATATTTTTTTAAACTTTATTTAACCAGATTCATTCAGAGTCAGAATCATTGAGGTCATTGATCTCTTTTTCAAGGGAGACCTGTCCAACATGGCAGCAAGTAGGTTACAACATGAACATAAAACAACAGATAACACAAAAGGACATCGTATTTACAGGGCTACATGTACATACCTAGAGACATTGACAAGTACCAACAGTATATTTATATCTCGCCCTGTCAATAAGCCTCACCTTCTTGGCAAAAACTGTATTGTTTTTGAAGTGGTGGAGAGACAATGCACAGTTTGACCCACTGCTGTCACCCATGGCCAAAGCATATCTCTCTGTCCCAGCAACATCAGTACCAAGCAAGAGAGTTTTTTCCACAGCAGGGGATATGGTAAACGCCCAAACATCCCAGCTTCTACCTGGAAATGTGGACATGCTCATATTCCTAAAAGATAACCTTGATGATGCTGAGTGAGTGAGTTAGTGAGTTAGAGTTGAGTTACTTCAAGAACTAAAGTGAAACTAGATTTATTCTATTGCAGGGTCTGATTATTATATTGTTGACACTTTAAAATACTACTATTCTACTAAAATGCTGTACAGATCAGATTGATTATTTAATAAAGAAAAAAAAATTCAAGTAAAAAAAAAAAAAATTCAATTTATTTCCCTTTATTTTTCAATATCGCGATAAATATCGTACCATGGACTTTTTATCACGATATTATCGTACCGTGAGTTTTTGGTATCGTTACATCCCTAAGAGGGACTGCAGAACATTTGTAGCAGTCCTCTTTTTTTATGAAAATCAGAAACCAATTTGTTAAAACCAACCAGACACATGAAACTCTGTCACTCTGGTCTCTGCCAGTAAATGAAGAAAAACCAAGTGATGCCATGCCTCCCCCTTCAACTGCTAAATTGCCATTCAAGGGAGGATGGCAAGAACAACAAACAGTATCATCTAAAAAACAACTTATCAAATTATATTCCGTACCCTTCACACAACTGCAACCCTTTTCGCCAGATGGTAGCACTTGGAATATTTGTTTAAAAAGGAACAAAAACCTCTGATCTTATATATTGAATAAAAACAGCTACTTGGGTAACAGCACTCTGTGATAGCATGCAACACTGGCTAAGCCGAGCACTTGCAGATCTCCCCTAGTCCTGGTAATGAGGGCCACAAAGGAGTTATTTGATCTGCTGGGGTGATACAGCACCTCATCAATCTGTCCTGGAACAAGGTCACTGGGAGCGCAGGGCCCAGGCCTCTTCCTCTCTCTATAATTGGACTGCATGTGTATGTGAGGAGAGACGGAGTAAGACAGACTGTGCTGTATGTGTATGTGTGTGTGTGTGTGTGTGTGTGTGTGTGTGTGTGTGTGTGTGTGTGTGTGTGTGTGAGAATGTTTTGCCTTTGCTGCCTCTGTGCATTCTCTGATAAGCGGCAACCTCGCTGACCACAGTTAAATGACTGCATTGTTGGTGTGTCGAGCGTTGCCAACAGCCTCCTGGGCCCTGTGATAGCTAGTTATTAGCATCTATTTTGTGGCCATTTGCATGGGCTTATTGGATATTAGTAGTGTCAGGTGGATAGCGTCCTTTTCTGTCTCTATTTAGCGGAGAAGCAGGTATTGAGGTCAAGTCGCCCTCATATGCTTGAATGTAGCTGTGGCTAATTTACACTGACATGAAATTGCTCGTTAAAAGATTAACCTGTATTCTGTTGGGACACACTGTTAGCAACAAAAAGAAGATGAAGACTCAAATAATAGATATGCTTACATTTTCAATACATCCATAAACAGTGCAGCTACAGGACAGAGAGGGGCACTATGAAATGTGTGTGTTTTCCTGACCTTAAAATGCACTTTGCCCATCTGTTTTCTATTTTCTTACCCAACAGAGAGCAACAGCGGGAGGAGAGGCACAACTCGCAGAAGTCGGCACAATGTCACAACATGTTTTTATTGTATCCTCATCGGAAAAGTGGGCGCAGCATCTGCCTGTGTCCTCACTTTTTTCACCAACACCTGGTGTTTTTTATATTCAATTTTCTATTTTCTGTGTCTTCGTATTTAGAAATAAAGTATGACAAATTGAAATCGGTGGTATTGCCTACTTTAACTTCATGGATATAGTCCCCGACCATAACTCAACTGTTAACTCTTTGCAACAAGTGGCTTTGTGATATTATACTAGATTTCCATATGCTCAATTTTTTAAGTAGAGCTTGCATGTCACTTAGATTTCACAATGCATTATTGAAATACAAGTTCAACAAAATACTTTCAATAGAAAATGCAATTCACTTTACTTCACTAGGAATCACATAAAACAGTGTAGGGGTATCAAAGGGCTAAGCTTATCTTCAGGTTTGGTGCTTCAAAAAACATTACAAAGTTACAGTATTAAAACAAAAGTGCTGTATGGTATCATGGTATGTATATGTGTATATGTATATATGTCAATCAACAGGTAAAGCTGATTAATAATACTAATACTATCAATAATAATGCATAAAAATGATAATTATTGCAGATTATAGATTACAAATAAATTATTTAGGGACAAGGGGGTGAGATTAAATAAATTATACTTCTTCTCACTCCTTTTCGAACACTAGATGTGGCACTGTTTATGTTGCTAATGCTGTTGTAGATGTAATTTTTTGTTTTGATTTCTCTTACAGTACATGACTATGCACTGCAACATTTGTTTTGTTTTTGTAATTATTTATTTTACTTGTTCGAAATAAATGGATCAATCAATTCTATCATGCACATTTCCCAGATGCCAGTTTTCGAACCACAAAATGTTTCAAAGACACTGGCTAGTCCACAGAATATCGAAACGGTCCATCTCCTTATTTAATGAGCGTCTAGACTTTTCTGTGAGCCACTGTGGCAAATATTGACAACTGAGACAGGGATGGAAATGAGGATGGTGATGCTTGCGGACTGGATCCCTGTATGATTGTCAGGACAGTCATCCCCCTGTGTCATTGTGTGTGTGTATGTACCAAAGTTCCCTGCAGCGTGAAGTGGAGCTGTTAATAATGTGTTTCACAGTGTGGTGTCCCCCGGATATTCGCCTCTAGTTACTGTGCAGGTGGATTCCTTGGTTAACTTTTGTGTCAGGAACACGGCTTTAAGGTATCAGTAAGTCAGCGCGTGTGTGTGTGTGTGTTTGTTGAGCCATGTGTGAGTATGAATATTGTGAGTATTGTCTGGATCGTTACATTATTACTGGTGCTATATGCTGTACATGTCTTTGCTTCCTTCCCTGCCAGCAATATGTACATGGATGGATTTTATATGGCAGTTTGTATTACAAGTGTGTAAATGCTAATACCTGCTTATGTATGAGAGCATATGTTTCCTTACCTCCATGCTGTTACAATCTGTGCAAGGATATAGGTATATTATAGTGTATGTGCATGTCAGTGTGTTTTTGTAAGTGTGTGTGTGGGGAGAGACCCCTAGTGGGTTTTGCTGGTTACAGGTTCTGATGGTGGCTTGTACCCCGCGGTTCTCTTTATCTCTCCTCCTCTCTCTTTCCGTTTCACCACAGCCCCTACTCTTAATCTTCCTTTAACTCTCCGTTTATCCCTCCATCTTTAGCCTCCCCCCCTTCTCTCCATTTGAGCAGACATGCACCATTTTCTCTAAATGGTGTTCAGACATTTGGAACCTATTGGACTGAGCAATGAGTAGGAATGCCTAAATATACCAATAAGGCTTAAACAGTGGGGGTGGGGGATCTTTCAGGACTCAGCGGACCATGACGTGTGTTAAAGTATGTGTGTGTGTGTTTGGTGTGTGTTTAGAGGGGAGACGCTCATTGCAACCAGCCCAATGACCTTCCTTAATTGGCGTTTTAAAGCATAAAACATGCATATGTAAATGTGGAGTTAGTCACAGTTACAAAAAGATGAAGAAGAGTGCTACCAAGGCCAGCAGTTGGTTAATCAGAACAGCGGTGGGGTTTTTGATTGGCAGGCTCCTGTATTAATTGGAGATAAAGAACTACGACGTGCACGACTACCATCAGCATGGGAGTTGACAAACATGACAACAAAGGCGAAGTAAAGGTAGTTATATGCTCAACAAAATGTAGAACAAAAATGTAGGTTTCAACAGAAAAGGCTTGACTTAAAATGTAATTGTACTTAAAGTGATCATACAGTAAGTAATATTCAAAATGTAAATGACTTATTATACAATTAAATCCTAAATAGAAACTGCAAAGGAAATTGTGTTTGCATAATAATACTTGTTGCCTCTGAAAGGGGGTAAAGAGGGTTTTTTGGCAGATAGTATTTAAAGATAATTTCAATTTAAAGACAGAGAGCATTGGAAAACACTTCCAGCAGAGCTTTAAAAAGGCAGAGAGTTGATGATGGTCATCATGTTTATAATTATAAAGAATTGTTACAAAACTAAATTAATGTGTTCTTGTAAATGTCTCAATAATTCTTAGTGTGCATAAAACCATGCAAAAGTTTTCATATATATTCATCTTTTTAGAGTTTGACGATTTTTCTATGTGAGCCTGCACAGGAAATGAATCTCTTCTAATTAAGAAGTTATTGTTTATTTTTTAACATCTGGACTTTTGGATCCAGTGACCTAACGAAGTGCACGTCTTCCAGTTCAAAGACACACATTCTCAAAAGCTGGAATGTGTCCAATAAATATTGATCTCTAATGAAATAAATTGTACAGACACAGAAAACAAAACAACATTTCTAAAACATGGGATAAAGCATCAAGAACATTGTGAGAGAAGGGAGA